TTTTTATAATTTTAAAAATAAATGCATGAATAAAGCAATTCGTAAATTTCTACGTCACATAATGAGGAAAGAGTACTTGGAAAATTTGATACTCACAGGACATATTAAAGGCAAGAGGGACAGAGGAAAACAATGTATGACCTACCTAGTGAGCATCAATAAATGGATGGCCTAACAAGGTTTAGGAGATATAACAAAAAGACAAAAATTATTAAGAGCTACAAAAGACAGGAGAGCCTACGCCCTGAAGTGACGCGGTACATACAAGAAGAAATGATAAATATTGCATTATAATCTGTTTACATACGTTTATAATATTGTAAGTATAAAGTTAATCTTTTAAATAAACAATCTAACAACTAATATGTGTGTAATATTTTTGCTGATACTAAAATTCTAAACATAGCTTAGAAAGACAATAAACAGTATATACAGTAATAGTAGTATTAAGAGTTTCTATGAGTGACCGAAGGCTAAACTTTGCCATTTTATATATATATATATATATATATATATATGCATGCTTCCTTAAAAACTGCACACCGACCGAATTAAATTGAAAAAATAAAACCATATTTGATAATGGCTAAAAATATAGTTACAGAATATTTGGACAGTTTCTACACACTCTGTGTCTCGAAAAGAAAACGCTTGTTCGAACACAAAAAAATAAATAAAAATCTTAATCGTAGTGTCTTATCTGTCATTTTTAATGAAACATGCATGAATGAAGGATTGCTTTAATTTAATATTTGGTAAACATCCCCTTAATCTTTATTTAAAAAAAAACTATTGTGTAAATTTTTGTAATTTTGTATAATATTTATGCATTACACCCTAATCTTTATTTGGTAAAAATTTCATTGCTAATCACTTACTTTTTAAGTAATACATATATTTATGTCTTTGTTGTTTCCGTTCCTTCTGACCGCTATTGTACATATATTATTCATTTTGTAAGAAAGTGCTATAAGCAAGCTTGAAATTCAGTGTATGACATTTCGCCAAACTGTAAACAACTTTGATTTTCATAGTGTTAAACATGTCGGATTTCGTGCCATTGAAAGTGTATTTGAGGGCATATATATATATATATATATATATATATATATATATATATATAATTGAAAATTGTAATTAGGCTACAATTGTTCTTTTAAACATGTTTATTGAAAAGTATAGATATTTTATGGCCATTTAAGTTTGCTTATTTTCTCTAAATTAGAAATACGAAACTATATATATATATTTATATATATATAGTACCATTCTAGTATCTATGATTGGTAAACGTTTACGTGTGTCACGATTCGTCCTTAACGACTCATCGGACTAAAGTTATATTTACATAATATATATATATATATATATATAGTATGTGTGTGTGTGTGTGTATAAAACGTAAATAGAACTTAAGTCCGATGGGTCTTTACGACTCATCCGACTAAAGATACTAGGTCGGACTATAGATACTAGAATGGTACTAGGCAATGTCCCGGGAAGATACCATTTGATCCTTGGAAGAGTGTAGCGCACAGATACTCTGATTCAAATCAGAAGGCTGGTGCCAATCCATACTAAAATAATCCTATTATTTTTTTACGGGTATTCTGCTAGTAAAATAATAACGGTAAAAATGATACATCTGATTTTTTTTTTAAATAGTTATTTATTTCTTACAGTACAAGTCAAAATTGTGAGGTAGTCAGAGAGAAATCAAATTGTTCAAGACGACATCACTATGAGACCCGCATTACTCTAGGTTCATAATTCGATGCAATCAAGAACACTTACGATGCTGCTTCAATTTAACAATTACTCAAATGACATGTTAGTGAAGAAGATTGTTTCAACGTTAATCGTTTTAAAGCAAATCATGAATGAGGTTCTAATTCCCTTTCTTGTGGCGCCCGTGTAAAGAAATGGTACATGTATTTGTTTTCGATTCTTCTTCTTCTAAAAAAAAACTACTGCTGATATTCAAGTCGGTTAATCGGGTCGTTAGAGCGCAAATCAAAGAACATTATTTCAGTCTTTTTCAGTGAGATTCTGTAAACAAAACAGAGATAAGTTGAGCTCCTACAGTCATACGTTCTCATGTATTGCACGAATATAGTCATATATGTATGTGTGTGTGTGCGCATTAATTGGGTTACAAAAATGTTTCATGCATATATATTTTTATCAGTTCGCCCCCATATAAGCTAAAATTAATTGAAAAAATAAAAAGCTTCATGATTTTAACTTATATGTGGGGAGTTGGTGGGTATGTTTTTTAGGGAGTGGTCGACGCTAAACTTTTCTATGTCCGTAATGTGTTATAAATGTAGCGAAAGTTTTCTATTGTTTATCAGGAGCTAAATATTTATAATATTATTATTAAACATCAGTGGCGTAGGGAAGGGGACCGCCCCGGGTGCCATCACAGGAGGGGTGACACAATGCCACCCCCAACAAAATTTTTCAACCAGGCTAAGGTGTCAAAAATAGTCTGAAAACAGTGGTGGAGACACAGGGTTTCGCAGGCGGGCATATGACCCCCCCAGAAATAATTTATGACCCCTCAGTTTTGTCCTCTCCCGTCAGAAATTTTCTAATAAATTGTCAGGAAATTTGTGAGTAGGAAAAATAGCAATGTTTTCAGCTTTCATGTATTTCAGTTGCTACAATCTTGGTTACTAACAAGAGACATTGTTGTAACATTTTATCGGATGATATGGTGTTTTAACTCTGCATCATTAATAACAACAAAGCGAAATACGAAGCCAAAAGTGCAACAATTTCAGTCTTGCCTGTGTATCAATTCGCTGAGATACAATTTTCCATTGAGTGAGCGATATACTTTTGAATATACCCACTAGTCTTGGGACGATTAATGCTTAAAAATTAAATAGAACATCTTTGTCAAGAAAAATACTTTCAAACATCATTGATAATTAAATGGTTCCCAGAAAATGATGCAACGGAAAATTGGAGACCGGAAAATTAGCAACAGAAAATTACGTCAACCATAAGCCAGTGGAGACTGTCGGATCTGGCTGTGCTGTCCATTGAAAATGAGCTTACAAGACAAACAGATTTTGACGATGTCATTGACTAGTTTGCCACAATGAAAACAAGAAAACATTCATTCTAAGACCATAGTATCGAATGTCATTCTTTTGTGTATTGCCGTGTTTTTGTATTTAGTTGTTCTGAAAGTGAACAGTTGTATTTTAAAAATCTTTTGATTTGAACTTATTATTTTGTGCCATTGGATTTTGTCTTGGATCATACGTGTAAACAGTAACGTACCGGTCAGTAGAGTAAAGTAGAGGTAGAGCATGTATGAAAATTTAGCTACTGCTAACTATTCAGCATAGGGTGAATCGGGGTCATTGGGGTGACATTTGAGCGGACCGCCCCGGGTGACGTTTACTCTAGCTACGCCACTGTTACAGATATAAGCTAAAATTAATTGAAAAAATAGAAAGCTTCATAAAAAGAATAAGATGGCAAGCCCATTTCTTTTTCAAACAGGAACTTAACAATAACACTACACTCAAGGAAAAATATGGCTTTCAAACCAAAAAGAAAGAGAAAGACTTAACTAACTTAGTAAGAAATATAAAATTCCATAAAAAATAAAATGCATACACCCACCCCCAAAAAACTAAAAGATATAAGATAAATATAGATAAATGAATGAGATAAAATAAGCATTTCAACAAATGTATTTATCGCAGCGGACAAAAATAGAAATTTATATGAACTAAGGTCCCCCCATACACACAATAAATTACTCAAGAACAACATAACTAAAACACACAAAAAAGCACAAAAAAACAATAAAACACGGTATCAATAGGGAAGCTAAAACAATTGACAAAAAATTAGACAGAGACGACTGAATAAGTTGCATCGCTAAGGCGCAAGAATTTATCGCACTAAAAGACCATAAAGAAAATTTCAAAATCAACCCATCATGCAGTTTCATAAACCCAACCAAAAGTGAACTACGTGAAATAAGTAAAACGATATTAGAAAGAATTAATTCAAAAGAACTAAAGAAGTTAGGTGTAAATCAGTGAAAAAAAACAAAAAAACATTAAAAAAAACAAATATAATTGCCAAATTATATAACTAGACATCAGAGAATTCTACCCTTCTATAACAAAACCCATGCTACATAAAGCAATCACTTTAGCTCAAGAACAAATAAGAATAAACACAAACGAAATTAATATCGTTAAGCACTCACGAAAATTACTACTATTCGACAATGAAGACGCATGGATAAAAAAACGGGTCTTTGACACTACAATGGGAAGCTTTGACAGTGCAGAGACATGCGAACTGATAGATATATATTTACTACACGAACTAAGTAAAATAATCAATAGAAATGATGCAGGATTCTACAGGAATTATGGTCTCAGAATCTTAAGAAACTATAACAAACAAAACACAGACAAAACTAGAAAAACAATAATAAATCTTTTCAAAAATATGGGATTCGACATAGATATAAAAATAACCTAAACGAAGTAAATTTTCTAGATGCCAATCTCAACCTAAGAAAAGGTACATATAAGCCATACAAAAAACCCAATGATAAACGACTGTATATACATACATCTTCCAATCTAGCAGATACCAAAATCAATTAAACGCAGGCTTTCCGACAATTCTTCCAATGAAACCATGTTCATCGAAGCTATGAAACTCTTACACAAACACTTCCCCGAATCATGCACTCTCCACAAAATGTTCAACAAAAACACAGTAAAAATCAGCCACAGTCGCACAGAGAACATGACACAAATAATAAAAAATCACAAGAAAACTATCAAAAAAATCACCCGAACAAATTAAACCCCGTGTCATTGCAGAATAAAGAACGAATGTTTATATGCTAGATAAATTTCACTTCTCAGTACGGCTTGAGATAATTGTGAGTTGTATCAGTCAAATGTAACATCTTACATATAACATAATACAGTTATACCTCTAACACTGGGCTTGCGACCATATCACGTTGAAACACTGGTCCTCGTACAATCAACGAAGTTAAGCAATGTCGGGCTTGATCAGTACTTAGATGGGTGACCGCTCGGTGCTGTAAGCTTGAATATGCGGGTCGTGTAATCGATAATGGCTGGGAATTGTTAATCGGAGAGCCGTGTTTGTTATTCCATTACGCGCAAGGAGAAATGGGAAAGGTATGAATCCACCTCTTTTCCTTTCACTTATGGGTTAAATAATAACACTTGTATCACTAAACTATTATTATCTCCAAAACAAAACAAAAAAATATAATCAAAAATACTTTTTGGCTTTAAATAACCTGTAATAGGTTGATAAGCCGTAAAAACGAATCAATCAAACAAACCTGTAATACTGTCTATTACCTTGAGCATTGTATAGGATACTGTGGTGGACTCCTTGATTTACAAGACAAGTTCACGATTCCTGAAGGTCAATGTCTGCCTATTTCAAATAAGAAATTTCTAGTTATAATATGCTTTTATTTGATTTACTTATGATTTATGTGGTGTTAGGATATTTACAATACAACTTGAATGTAGTTTATCATATTTGAAATAAGTGTAGAGAATTGTATAGTTTCTGGCAGCCAATTTTTCAAATATCAAAGCTATAAATATTGTCATGGGTCGTAAAAAAGATATGACCTCAAAAGATAAACAAGATATTGTAAAGCTATTGGGTAATGAGAACATGACGTTGGAAATTGCTTAGTTGATCAGAGTCAAAAAAGAAATTAAAAATACTGGTGATATAAGAATGAGTGGAGAACTAGATTTAAGAATATCATGAAAGAAACATTTGAAAAAAATGAAATATTATAAAAAACAAGAAGAGTTAATTAACAAGCCATAAAATATATGAAAAAGTTGTTGTTGCAAATATAAACAGAGAAAACATGTAAAATGTTAAGAACATTAACGGAAGTTGGGTTCTTCCCGGAAATACTCAACTAACATCGTTTAGAAAATAACAAGAGAGAGGTTTAATAATATTCTGGGTTAGTATATTGTCATCAGTGAAATTAAAGCGACTTCAAAATTGATGTTGGTATCAAGGCAAATGCTGAGAAATACCATCAGTTCTAGAACAAGACCTTTTTTTTATTATAGGTTACAACCAAAAAGCTTTAAGCTAAAGTGTGTATTTATCAAAGGCAATGCATTTTTGCATCCTGAAAATCGAACCTTAGCAACAAAAAAATAAATAAATAATAAATAAAAAAGCTTCACAAACATCAAATTATTTAACGACATTTTTACTAACATTTTTACTTCTATTTATAAATACATGTTGCAAAATAAAATCCTTACAATTGCCTTGGTACAGAGCATGAGAGGACGAGACGCGTGGGCCAAGATATTTTTTCCTGTGGTCTTTATATATATATATAGAGAGAGAGAGAGATAGATAGATAATATTAGTGGTCAATATATATATATATATATATATATATATATATATATATATATATATATATATATATATATATATTACCAAGAGGATAGAATCCATATAGAGCTCAATGTCCAGGGCAAGGCGAGAATATAATATAAAAGACTCAAACACTAATATTCCATGGTTATAATTTATTACATTGGCTTTTTGAATTTGTAGGTCTGATGAATTGGATCGTGATCACGATTCCAATGTAATAAATTATAACCATGGAATTGAGCAGAGTAGATAAATGAAACGGTAAAATATAAGCAGGCGTGTACGCGTGTGTTGGTGTGCATACATAGGCAAGCAAATAAATAATCGTCAAATTTATGCATGCGGTGTAAACGTAATAGTGCTGAATGCGGTTATACAGAACAAAGATATGTATTTACATGCCCGATGAACTGGGAACTCCTCCCAGGGAAACTATAGTCTCACGCCAAAACGTAGGTAAAAGTATATGTACTAATTAATACATATATGTATTGTTATATAGGAATAACTCGTCGGAACACAGACCACCAGAGAGCAAACACAGGCGGTCCCATTTTAAATAAGTAGATGGCAAAAGAAATGTATATATGGGAATTAGCGTGGCTTCCAAATGATCACTATTTCTACTCTGTCCTCTATTACTATACGGACCGCTATTCTCTATACTATTCACTGTACTATTTCTCTATACTGATCACTATACGGATTACTATTCACATCACTATTCGGTGATCACTATTCGAGCGAGTATTATCGAGCAAGTACTATTAGGGCGAGTGATATTCGAAGGCGTCTGACACCAGTATTGTTCAACGGCGTTACTATAGTTGTATCGACGATTACAATGTCTCTACTACAACGAGCATTTCGAGAGTAACAACGAGTATTCGTTGACATCACAAAAGTGGCAACTAGGATACCAGGATACCTTTGAACTTACACGAGGATACCTTGAACTTACACGAGGATATATATATATATATATATATATATATATATATATATATATATATATATATATATTATGGTTGTCCGTTATTTTTTAACAAATGTTCAGCGATCGCCATATTCAGCGATCGCCATTTAATAAATTGCAGGGATTGTGCGAAGAACTTCGGTCCGAGTTGGTTTGCTGTGCTGTCCAGTTCGCACTCTCCATTTCATTTGAGGGCACTTGAGTCTCTGTATATTCGGTCCAGGGAGCCGTCTCTTTGCAAGCAAAGAGACTGTCTCCTTGGGCTTCACGTCATTACGCTCTAGTGTCTATCATACTTTCCCCTCACACTCCCCGTTATATTTTTTTCCCTTGTACTGTGCATATTCGCACGGTTTAAAATATTTTTTCCCTCATACTATTAATCATTTCATTTTTAATGTTTTAATTGTATGTAGGGTGTTTGTGTGAGTCAATATATATTGCAATAATTGTTAAATTGTTCCCAGTCGACCCTGATGAGCTTGGGAACGAAACCGGTTGGTCTGTTCTGTAAGTGTTATCATCTCTTATTTTTTTCATTTTTCATAATGCCTTTAGGAAATAATTTGTATCTATTACTTGCAATATTACGGTTTTGTACCTCCAACAATTTATATATATATATATATATATATATATATATATATATATATATCAGTGGCGACTTTAGGTCATCAATGTTTGTCGGGCTCATTACAATCTTTAACAAAATATACTGTTGGAATAACTTAGATGGTTACTCTAACTAAAATATATAATTTTTTTTTTTAATTTCTGTGCATGAAATTAAAAAGCACCTCTTGGTAATTTAATATTAATTGTAATAATTATATAAAAATAAACATTTATTTTTTTTTTTAAATTCCAAACATGTAAGAAAAAAGAGTGAAGACAAAGTCTTTGATAGATTTGTCTGTTTATTGTCCTCTCTCCATTTTTTATTGTTTTATAGCCTGATTATCTAATCACTGATGGTATAGTGTGTGTTTGTATATATGACTATATATTAGAGTGTTTATGTATCTGTCTGTGGATTTTTACTTTAATTTATTGTACGTTTATGATCAGTACAGCTGATTGATATCATATTTCCTAAACACTACCCCAGTCATACTCCTCACCCCAGCTCTCCAGACGACGAGCTAAGGCTGTCACTTTCTTTGATTTTCGCCAAATTTAAATCGGGCTAAATTACATTCCGTTAAAAACCTTATTCACTTAGCTTCTTTTTATCCATGTTTCCATCATCTTTTGTTATTAAATATCCCACAGTTGTATAATTTAAATTATGATTAGTCTCGATACGGTCAGTTGCTAATGCACTGAGTGTGTTGCTTTGTAAAATATTCCTTTAGTCTTCATATAATCTTTTTTTGTTAATTCCTTGTTTTCTCCTATACATTCATTTTCTGGCGACAATTAATACAGGTGAAAAGAGTAAATTTATCCTTCAAGTTTTAGCTTATTTTGTTTTGTATTAAATATTGTTTTAGAAGTAGTAAAAATGTTATGTTTAGCTTAGATAAATTCTTTTCAATTTAAGTTGTCGTATACACGCACGCACACACATACACACACACACACAAATATATATATATATAAAACATCTTAATAGCTTAGTACCCTACCTTGACATTACTACACGAGTATGCTTACATCATAAAATTTGAAAATCGTATATTACATAAGCTTAATGTTTTTCACTTCACAAATAAAAAATAATAATTTTCAGATCAACATACTAAATTTGTCTTAGATAAAGCAAGACACTGATAAAACAAGACCTGAGGATGACATTTTGCTAATGCCGAAAGTACTCGGAATAAATGAATATGCATCAATATGGTAAATTTCTTTCTCCCTTTGATAAGGATACTAAGAAACTTGTGCGTAAATATGAGAGGATCATATTAAAAAAGTAGAAAAAACTTGTATAAATTATTTAATGGAACATGTCTTAATATATATATATATATATATATATATATATATATATATATATATATATATATATATATCCGATGCAATGAGAACGAAAGTAATATATAAATTCATCAATCCAAAAGAGGGCTCGATACCGATAGTAGAGCAATATTTTTTTATTATAATTTTATCATATAGACAAAAACAGTTTACTCACTACAAAGATGCAACTTTGTTTCGGTGCATTTCAATTGCACCTCGACGGGTGAGAATCAAAAATAGTTATGAACAATTCTGCTCGTAGGCAAGCCGTATGTGAAACGTCATTTCCTTTTTTCCATTTGTTTGAGAAAAAATATACATAAAGCAAAAAGGTGACAGAGTGAAACAGTAGTGCTTGTTGATAGCAATTTGCTGAAGGATGGGTGGGGGTGGTGAATGCTGGCTCATCTGGGAAGATTCCTTGCTGATAACAACGTGAGATGTTGTGCCTGAACTTTTGTCCCATAGAACTATATATATATATATATATATATATATATATATATATATATATATATATATATATATATATTGAACAATAAGAAAATAAAAAATTAAAATCTTTGGACACACTGGGTTGTAGCTTAATATTCTTTCGTTTTTTTTTATTATTATTCCATTTAGATTCCTCGACTAGTTTCGACCGAAATGGCCATCATCGGGAGGAGAAATATTTCTGCTTGCTGGTAGCAGTGAACTACAGAAATGAATGTCTTGATGGAGAAAATGAACTTTTGTCTGTAGTTTTCATTTGTTTTTTTATTTTCTTATCTTTTTAACATGAATCTTTTAACATTCCTTGTGTTGGTCAAACAGTCTCTTTTAAGTTGCTATTTGAGATAAGAGCTGGATAGATACATATTGTTCTGAAATCTCTGGTCAATAGCAAATTAATGAAGGGTTTGGTAATCCGTGTGGATAATTCCAAAGAGCTCAATGTAATACCAGAGCAAATATTAATTAAATAAGTAAGATAACTAGAGATGTGATGAATCAAGAAAAATATTTTTTCTAGGGAAATAAATTAGTCATGGAACCTTAAGGTCGTCTTTTTATTTAATTAATTGATATATATATATATATATATATATATATATATATATAGAGAGAGAGAGAGAGAGAGAGAGAGATTATTTTTAAACAAGTTTTATGCTTTTCGTCATAAAACACGACATTCCGATAACTTATTATTAACATTTTTAATAAGCATATATATTATATGACGAAACACGATATATTGGTCATGTAGGTAGATGTATATCCTGAAAGTTTTACGAAGATCAGTTTGTCAATATGAATATTATTTTGTCCATATTGGCTTTCATAATACAATCTAACATAGAACTAGATTCTCATGGATTTAAACGTGGGCCGCACATTACTAGAAAAAAAAAGTTGACAAACTAGTTACCGACTTTGATTGAATACATTTTTAAGAAATTCGCTCCACACCAAACCCACTCCGACATTTCGCGCATTGACAAGCAAATTGGAATTCTACAATAAGTTGACATTTACGCATTGTTGCTTCTGCACACACACACACACACACATATATATATATATATATATATATATATATATAGATAGATAGATAGATAGATAGATAGATAGTTTCCCTGAGTCTTTTTATGAATAATCTTTTTAAAAAAAATTCAAATTATGGCGTTATTAACTCTATAGTGTGTCTGAAGCAACTTGGGCATTATGACCTAGATGGACTCTTTTTCTTTATCATCTATCACATAGCTATATATATATATATATATCTACTTGCATTGGTTTTATGCGTAGGTGACGAGTATATACAGTTTTCAGTCACATATGAATGTGTTGGCGATAAAGTGGTTGCAGATATTTATTTAGACAAATCTATCAAAAGGCCACATTTGAAAAGCATCTGGTGAGGGTTGAACTTAAGTTATGACTACAAAGACCCATTTGAAAACCTTATCTTGACTGCAAAAGAGCGTATTTATTGAGTAAATGGGTGTCACTTAGCCGTCAGCCATTGACGGTTTGCGACATGAATATAAAAAATAAGTGGTAAAGCTTCTTGGGACTGACCGTAGGGATAGACATGAGCGATAGTAAGGACGTAAGGAGAAAACTGGAGGCAAGGGAAACGACGTGGTTCTACAGAAGGATACTGAGAAAAGCATGGACGGAGAGAGTTAGCAACGAAGGAGTCTTCAGGAAAATGGAAACAAAAATCACGTATACTCAAAATCAGAAAGGGATAGCTGAAATTGTTTCGGCGCATAATGAGGAAGGAGGGCTTAGCGAATTTAACACTCACAGGATATATCGATGGTAAAAGATTGATTGATTTGTTTTCTACGACTTGCAGGTTATTTAAAACCAGAAATTGTTTTTAGATTGTAAGATTATTTTTAGGTAATAATGATTTAGCGATACAATTCTAATTAACTGAGAAGGTAATATGTGGATTCATGCCTTTCCCAAATGTATTTGCGTGTAAGTGAATATAACGAACCCTAGTGGAATTGGAACTCGACTCTCCGATTAACAATTCTGAGCCATTATCCATTACCCCACCCGCACATCCATGCTTACAACACCTGGTATTCCCAAGTGGTCACCCATCGAGGTACTGACCAGGCTCGACGTTGCTTAACTTCGGTAATCGTACGGCAACCGGTTTTTCAACGTAGTATGGTCGTAAGCCGATGGTAAAAGAGACAGGGAGAGGCAGCGGTCCACCTACCTGATGAGCTTATGTGAATGCATGGCGGAACGTGTGGGAGAGGAGAAACGTTACTATGGGATACAAAGAATAGGAAGTTGTGGAGAGTGAAAATCGTCTACGTCCCGATAGGATACGGCACAGAAAAAAAAGAAAGTGTGTATGCGGAAGCAGACATTTATGCATGCAATCTGGACAGTATATTTTCATATAGGAACCGTATTCTGACTTTTGCAATTTCCTAGTGTATCCATTCAAGACTTTTCGTCGTCTTTTGTGAAACAGGAAACAAAAGAAATGAAGGGAATTCCGATAGCAAATAATCTATATCTATTTGGCTGGTTAGAAAGTTCTCGCGGTTCCTAAACAGATGTCTTATCTTAATCAGCCTCTGGAAGTTCTTTGTTGTACGTAATAGCAATGGAAATATTAACCATTTCCCTACAAGGAAGCCTTTGGCATTCATTGACTGCACATCCAGTACTGCTTTCGGCTGAAGTTTATAAAATATTTCCCTTGAAATATTTTTTTGGCAAATAGTTTTTTTTTAAGCCCAGTAGCTGTTGTCGCTCTTTCCAGTATTGATAATCCTGGTTCTGACGATAGACTACATCCGGCAGCAAAACCTCTGACCGGGAGATTGGAGGTTTTGAGGAACCTGGAACCACCTCTTAATTACTGTTGTTCCCTGGATCACTTTGACCCGAGGTGGTAGCACCTGTTAGGGTCCCAGCTATGGGTAAATAGTGAACAACCAAACAAAAGTCAAAGCCCTAAGAAAGTATAAAAATACATTTTTATGATAAAAATACCAGTAAAAAAATTACAAACAATACATTTTATCGTAAAATAATAATCAATTCAACACTGAAGTATAAAAATAGATTTTATAATAAAATTATCGATATTATGTCATCTACAAACTCCTCTTATATATCTAAAGACATAGGTTTACCCTGAAATTATGTACAAAATATCTGGAGTTGAAGCCATAAAATTGCGTACAAAATATTTAGACTTCGGCATTAAATGACCCATGGAGGTGTTGATAAACCGCTAAACAAAAACAACCAAACCAACCAGCAATCCGGTGTTGATTGGGGTTTCCTTCCTTGTTAACATCTTATGTTATTATTTTCTCTTCAAGTTACGTATGCTATCCAATTTAATTGTTGCCGCTATTGGTAGTCCTCAAGTGATGTGGTTTCTGTTATTTGGTACAGTTCTTTGTTTGTGATTCTGTAGCACCAGTCCACAAGGTTCAAAGAAGGATGACCTTTTACATGATCTTCCTCAAATCTTTCCCTTCGACGTTCATGAGGAGGGGGCCATTACCCTACCGCGCTGACACAATACCTGCTGGTAGGGGCTGGCAACACCACGTATCCCTAAGTGGTCACCAATATAGATACGGATCAGGCTCAATGTTGCTTAGTCGAGAGCCGGTGTTTCAACGTGATATGACCATAAGTCTAAATAGATGTAATGTTCTACAAATCGCGTGTCCTTACCTACCAACCAGATATATTCATGTTTATCTCTATAACATTCTCTTTTTGTTTCTATCACTCTATCTATCTATCTATCTAGCTAGCTAGCTAGCTAGCTAGCTATCTATCTATCTCTATTCCTCCCACTCGCTCTTTCTAGCTTTCTTCTTTCTTCTTGTAATGTTCTACAAATCGCGTGTCCTTACCTACCAACCAGATATATTCATGTTTGTCTCTATAGCATTCTCTTTTTGTTTCTCTCACTCTATCTATCTATCTATCTATCTATCTATCTATCTATCTATCTATCTCTATTCCTCCCACTCGCTCTTTCTAGCTTCTTCTCCCTGCTCTTTCTCTTTACCTCTTATCTTCCTCTCTAGCTTTTCGTTTTTCTTTTTCTCTCTTTTTTCCTCTCTTATCATCTCTCGTTATTTCTAGCTCCCTTTTCCTCTTTTCTTCTGTTCCTCTCTTTTCCTCTCTTTTTCACCTTTCTCCTTCTCGCCATCTGAGTTCTTCATCTCCTCCGCTTTCTCTCTCCCTCTCTCTCTCTCTCTCTCTCTCTCTCTCTCTCTGTTTCATTCATGCACACATACGCAGCTGTATAATAAAAATATCAATGCTTCAGAGAAATTACAATAAAATAATAGAAAATTATTGTTCAATAGAAATTTCTGTTGATTTATTGTAATTTCTCTGAAGTGTTGATAATTGGAGAAAGAGAGAGAAAAGTGATGATATCTGGTGGGTGGGAAAGTTCACGCGGTTTATCGAACATTAAATATAAAGGGTGTTCCAAAATCTTGGACCGATTTTAAATGTGGATTAAGATTAAGCGTCTAATGATTTTTTCTTTTTCTTTCAGATTTGTCGGATATTTGGGCAATATTATTTTTCACACATAATTGCAATGACTTAAATAACATGATCCAATAGAGAAATAAATAAATTTTCACCAATAACACTGATTTGTTCACTGCTGACTTTGATCCGTCTTAATGAAACACCCTCATATATATATATATATATATATATATATATATATATATATATATATATATATATATATATATATAATTCGTCTTAATGAAACACCCTTTTACTTAGGCTTATGGCTATATCACGTTGAAACACTGGTTAAATAATTTTTGAAGATCAAAAAATTTGTTTTATTATTACTATAATAATTTCTATCATATTTTCTATAATATTTTGGCTGTCTATTTTCCAACCTTCTGCAGTTAACAAACACCTCACTTAACGACTTGTTTCACGTCCCCGTACTTATGACCTGCTATAAAAATCTAAAAATCTAATAAAAATTGGTATTGCCCGTTATACGAAAACTTTGATCGGGGAAATTTTCTCTTTCTTCAAAAAGAATCAAAATAATTAAAATGAATGAATAAAGCGAAAAATAAATTAAAAATCTAATTGTAAATTAAATAAAAAAAACTTATCTGAAGACCGAAGTAATGTACACAGCTGATTTTCTAATTTCTTTATTATATTTAATGGTAGTATACTACCGTACAGTTTAAACATTTAGAAATGTTACAAATTGCGTAAAAGTGAAATTAAAACTGGTTGAAACAAATCCATTATACGCATAGAATGCTTGTAATAGCCGTCAGCTACAACTTCTCTTTTAACGACCAACTTGTTTAGCAACCGGGTCATTAGAACTTAACCTTTATCACACTGCAGGCGACAATAATCACCGTGGAATTCTTTTCCTTACTACTCTAGACGCATTCTGTCGCCTTGAGACGGTTGCTATAAATAAACACTTGTCAACTGTTTTCCCGTATTTTAAGCTGGAAATCGCCTACTACTGCTTTGGAACAAGGTTAAACTTCCAACGCTATTTTGAGTTCTAAACACGAGAAGACATGTCTCTTTTTTGGCGAAATGAAAGCCTTCTTAACGATTTTGCTTCTTATTGCACCCCAGAACTATACAAGGAGTAATAAAAGTTAAAGTACGGTAAATTGTTTATCTATTTTTAATGTATTTGTTTTTTTTTTATTTCGCGTTTTTTTTTATTTCGCATTTCAATTTTTTTTTGTTTTCGGATGTCAAAACATGCATGCAAAACGTAATGCATTGCATAATGAATTATATCAAAATTTTACATTTTCATTCTTTTATTAGTGTACAAAAATTAAAATCTATATGCACAATACAAAGAAAGTTATAACAATTTTAAAACAGTAGGTGTTCATGTTTTTTTGACCTCAAAAAATGCAGTGGCAGGGGAGACAAATCTAGAAAGAAATTAGCGTTGATCGCCAAATGAGAAGTGGTTGTGTTTTTTTTTAAAGCTCAGAATCTGTTGTGGTTGCGTTCTGTTTATAGTTACGTCATTCGCTGAAACTTACCTTATTAAAAAATAACTAAGCACTGAACAAGTTTTGGCTTGAAGAAGGCCGAAAAATTGCGTGCAGGTTCGTGTGCATGTCTTATTATGTGTGTGTGGGCATATGCTTTGTGTGAGTATGCTTTGGCGCTAGTAAAGTTGATTGTGAAATATGTAAATAACGCAAATATATCAGAGAATTTTATTTGCCATAAACTGCGGCTTACAAGTCGATCTCAAGGCTTTTAGCTCAAAAATCTGGGTTACGCCTATACTTACCGTATAGGTCGACCCCCCCCACACACACACACACAAAAATATGCTAGCCTACATGTAGCCAAAAACTTAGGCCTACCAGTAAATGAAATTAGGCTACAGTATACGATAACCTGTGCCAAAACTACATAAGGTCCACTTACCTGTATATTAAGACACTAACCGTAATATCTTTCTATATGCGTTGTATAATAAACAACATATAGCACACACCAGTAGGTGTCGTATATTGTATCGGTATAACTTAACGAACATTTAAAATCTGTCAGGTTTATTGATAAACACATTAAAGTCAACATCAACTTCCATAAAATATTAATGTCGTATATTACACATCATAACAGGTAATTTTATTATAGTACTGTTAAGCATCGTATGTTATTGTGGCCTAGAGTAATTGTTAGAAGCGTTGTCCCATTTGTTTACAAGTCGGTGGTAAAGGTTTGCGTTTTATACCCGCCATATAAGTCGACCGCTAATTTTGATTAAAAAAATTAGACTTGAAAACTCTAGTTGTACGCCTCAATTTACGGTAATTTTTTTTATTCTTATTTTATTTATATTGCTAATTAAAGAGTTAAATGACAATTTTCATACAAACTTTTGGGTGTAGCGTTATACCTCTAAGCCTTCTGTCTTCTACTCTATCACGAATTTTAATAACCACACCTTTATGGACGCACATACACAGAGAGAAACCATTAGCAACTTCTTGCAGAGAGTTTCGTTATAAGTTCAGCCGGTTTGATGTCGAAATTAACAGATTTCACAACATCGTCTTACAAAAATGTTATCCTCCCCTGAACCCTTTACGGAAGAGTAGGCAAATTTAAAAGCATTTCTAAAGTGTGTTT